AGCTCAATTCTTTAAGGCCACGTGGGTGTATGCCATCTGGTCCAGGTGCTTTATTCACCTTTATTCTGTGTAAATATTTCTGAAACATATCAATTGTGAGCCAATGTGGATCTGGAGCTGTGTCAGTACCACGCCCATTATGGACAAGAGCTCCCCCATGCTCCTTTGTATACACAGAGCTGAAGAAGGTATTAAATAAATTTGCCTTCCCTTTATCCCCAGTCACCCACTCTAGATTATTTTGTAAAGGGCCTACATGCTCGGACCGAACCTTTTTACTATTAATATATTTGAAGAATTTTTTGGGATTGGTCCTGCTATGTTTTGCAATCTGTCGATCGTTTGCATTTTTTGCGGCCTTTATTTCCTTTTTGCATATTCTGTCATATTCTTTGTAATGTTTTAAACGATGATAGTGTTCCTTCATTTTTATATTTAATAAAAGCTCTTATTTATAGCTTTTTTAACAGGCTGTAAGCCACATAGGTTTGATTTTTTTTTAGCCTTTTAAACTTGTTGCCCATGGCAATATATTTTGCAGTATGTTCACATACAGTCTTTTTGAAGAACTCCCATTTCTGTGTTGTATTCATTGATGCCAATATTCCCTCCCAGTCTAAGTCTTGAATAGCTGTTTTCAGCCTTGGAAAATGAGCTCTCTTAAAGTTGAGCGTTTTTATTTTTCCCCATATGTGCTTGTTTACAGCTAACAACAAATGAAAACATGTTATGGTCACTGCTACCCAGATGTTCTTTTATATGGACATTAGTAATAAGCTCTTCATGGTTAGAGATTACCAGGTCCAGCAGAGGATCATTCCTATTTGGGGCCTCTGTGAACCATAAAATTGTCCTGTAGTAGGTTTATAAGTTTTTCCCCTTTAACTGTTCCTGCAGTGCCATTACTCCAGTCAATTTCTGGGTAGTTAAAATCCCCCATTATTATCACTGTCCCAGTCCTTTCAGCCCTCTCGATCTGTGCAAGGAATTGAGGCTCCACCTCCTCATTAACACTGGGAGGCTTATAACAAACTCCAATGATTACCTTTTGTAGTACACACCCCCATGTGCAGTTCCACCCATAATGCTTTATCCTTCTCACACTCTCCATCAAGGATATAAAAGCAAGGCCTGATCTTTTATGTTTAACTTTGTAGTGTTGAGATGACCCACCGTTACCGGAAAGACATCATGAAGAGTAAAGTGGAGAAGACACTAAGCAAAGGAAAGCTCCAGTCAAGACTTCAAGAAGAGTAGGTGATTAAATGGCATACATTTGCATGCCAGAGCTTTTCTGAATAGCTTGTTGAAGAAACCTTTATTGAGGAATGGTTAGGGTTCTTCCACATGGTTCTGTTGTATGAATCTCAGATAACTTGCAGAAAAGTCCCACGTAAACACATGAGGATGGACTGTACAGTAAATGTGCGTGTTCTCGCATTAAATGCTGTCCAGCAATGCAGATATTTGTATTTTTTTATTTTTTATTTCCAAGTTTATGCGCCTGGGTGTACAGGCCCATTAAAAACAATGAGCTGCATTTAGATCAGTGTTGTTTTTTTTTTTTTTCGGCAGCCATGTGCAAGAGCCCTTAAAGGATAAGTTCACCTTTGGGAACATGTTACATATTCCACCTGTTTTAGGGGGGAACATGTAACATGTTCCCATAGCTGCAGCCGCCCCTCTGGACTTTTGTGAATGAATGAACTGCAACTCCCAGCAGCCTTAGCAGCTATCGGCTTGTAATCTTCAATGAACTATCACGGAGCTGTGAAGCGCCCTGGTAGTTCATTAAAGCTTCCTGTCAGAATATCTGCTTGTTTGTACATCTCGTACAGCAAGCAGATATTCTGACAGGTCTGCAGGAGACCTGCATGGCATCAGCGATCTATGGTGCAATGCTTTCCAGGCTCCTGTATACAAAAATAAAAAATGCTAATTTTTTAACTTCAAACAAATGTGCATTTATTATTTTTGTCTAAAAGGTGAACTTAACCTATAAAGTTAAGTTCACCTATTAAGGAAAAAGTAATAAATAAATGCACATATTTTTGCAGGGGGAAAAAAAAGTGCATTTATAATTTTTTTTGATTGGACCCTAGATCAGTGGATGGTGGGTGCAATGTCAGGCTCCTGCACACTCTCTTCCTCCAGGTTTATATCTATTCTTCTATACAGGATTTCAGTTAGAAAGCTGGAGGAATTGTCAATGGACTCGAGTGTATGGATTATTGCAATAGGCAATTGAAACTACACATCCTTCTGCCGTAGTGGCAGAGAGAAGAGTGCTTAGGAACATGTTATACCCTAAATATAGGTGCGACATTTAACCTGTTCAAAAAGGTGAACTTAGCCTTTAAAGACCTATAGGAGAGAAAGTTGTAATTTTTTTTTAACTTAATATGTACACATGAAAAAGATCTGTAATGTAAATAAAATTGATTGCACATAAAACTGGTGTACGTTAACATTTTTAGAGGCCATTTTTTTTTTTGTCCTGCCACTGCAAGTCCAAACCAGAGGATTTGTTAAATTGGTAATTCTAGACAGTCTGCAGTCTTTAATGCCATGAAACGTCCACAGTGAACAGAATACACAGTGATCATATGACCTAAATTGCTTAGGAGGTTATTTACTAAAACTGCATAGTGAAAAATCAGGACCAGCTCTGCAGAGAAACCAATCAGCTTCCAGGTTTTATTGTCAAAGCTTAATTGAACAAGCTGAAGTTAGAAGCCGATTGGCTACCATGCACAGCTGCACCAGATTCTGAGTGCTCCAGTTTTAGTACATCTCCCCCATAGTGTTTGAGAAACTTTGTTAATGCTACTTGTTTTACTTGGCATAATAATATGACCTGTTAATGCTGACATTGTGCCCTCTTTATTCGGATAATTATGTACTGGCAATGATGGGTACACTTTACTGACTTTTTTTTTTCAGTTTGAATGATTGCAGTTTGCTTTTGTCTTGATAGATTCCAGAAAGCAATGGGTGGAGTTCCTTCTTGGGCATCCACTGACTCCAAGAAACAAGTTTCCGAAGAAGGTGAGACCAGCTCAATCTTCGACTTTTTCCATTAGTACCATTATTGCTGTACTACCTTTGAAATCCAGAGTGACTGGATGCATATGCGTATCGGAATTCCCACCACTACAAATGCGTATCGGAATTCTCGCCACTACAAATGCGTATCGGAATTCCCGCCGCTACAAATGCGTATCGGAATTCCCGCCGCTACAAATGCGTATCGGAATTCCCGCCGCTACAAATGCGTATCGGAATTCCCGCCGCTACAAATGCGTATCGGAATTCCCGCCGCTACAAATGCGTATCGGAATTCCCGCCACTTCAATTGTGAAATAAAATATTGAATATCTGAAGTCACTGCAAAAGGTCCACTAGCACTGAGTTGCATTCTGCCTTGTAGCAGTGCGGTCCTAAGTTTGAACCTTTACCAGGGCACTAGTTGCATGGAGTTTGCTTGCTTCCCTTTCTGTGCGTGGGTTTCCTTTGGGTACTCTGTTTTCCTCCCACATTACAAAGACATGCTGGTAGGTTATTTGGCTCCTGCCTAATTGGTGCGTGCGCGCGTGTCCTTCGATTGTTAGATCCTTGGTGGCAGAGGCTGATGTTCAATATGCAAAGCGTAGTGCTGCCATACATGTTAGCCATTTGGTTGACTGAGTGTTCTATGGCAGAATCTTGCTAAGCAAGTCAGAACAAAGAGCCGTACCAAACATATTAGCCTTAAAGCTCATTCTTGGTCAGGCTGTGTGCCTTGTGTTGTGCTTCACAATGGTTATGCTTGCCTTAGCCTTCGGGGCAAGTCTGCCAAACAGCACTTGTGTCTCAAAACAAAATAGACTCTTTGCACTCTCCAATGATGTGCAACACACAACCACCAAATACCTTGTGATCTTTACCAAGACTTTAGGTCACATGATGATCTGAGGTAGCATTTTTAAACTCTTGACTGCAACATAAAAAAGAAATTCTCCCCTGCAGGTTGAAGTCAGAATGCACTAGTATACAATGCATACAAGTACATTATGATAGACGTGCCTACAAATGGAGCCCTCCAGCGATGTGCTGTCAGGTCTATCCCCGGCAGCTTCCATCATCATCCAAGTTTCACATTTTCAGCCACTTGATTGGCCGGGCCATTGTGACGTCACTGCAGCACGCAGAACGGGCCGTAAATGTGGTCTGAGCTGCGCATGTGCGGCTCAGATCTCATTACCTGCTGACAGGCAGGGGGGGAACATGTATGACAAAAGAGACCTCTAGGGTCTCTTCTGTTATAAGAGAGCCTGCCTGTCAGCAGATTTTACATATGTATTGTCTTTATTACCACTTAAAGCAGATAGTGGGGGAGATTTTTAAAAGGTTCATTTTTTTTTTTTTTAATTCTAAAATAACAAACATGTTCTAGTTGCCTACTGTGTGCAGTGGTTTTGCACAGAGCAGCCTGGATCCTCCTCTTCCCTCTTCTCAGGTAACCCGCAGGCTCTCCTGGCTCTTCCTGTGTGTCAGGTGCCCCCACAGCAAGCAGTTTGCTATGGGGACGCCCTCTGCTCCACGTGTCCATTCATGCACGTAGCCAAGGCTTGGCCCTGCCCCTTTCTCTCCTCATTGGCTGACTGGCTGTGATTTACAGCAGTGGAAGCCAATGGTTCCGCTTGCTGTCTCAACCAATGAGGAGGCAGAGACCCGGAGCAGCTGAGGCTATCATTCACATCACTGAATTGCTATGAGGCTCAGGTAAGTATTGAGGGGGCTGGGAAGGGGGGCTGCTGCACACAGATGGTTTTTTTTTTACCTTCATGAATAGAATGCATGAAGGTGAAAAACCTTCACACTTTACAACCACGTTAAGATTTGACAATAGAGCTGCACTAGATTTTGCACTCTCCAACTTTTAGTAAATAACCCCCAATGCCTTTCACAACAGTGACAGCTCCATGGCGTTTCACGTTTAATGTTAAACAATGATTTCCATGACAGATGACGATGACAGTGAAGATGATGATGAAGACAACTTGCTGCGTAAAACTGGAAATTTGTTAGGGAAGTCCATTTCACTTCCAAAGGGCATTATAGAGGTAAGATGCCGTTGGGCACACTGCTGCATAAACTATAGTTATGTCTTTGTCTGGGCAAAACAACAATAATAACATTCTGCAATGCATGTCCATTTCCTTATGTTTTATCTCTTTAACAGTGCTGCAGTTACAGAAAAATACATGTAGGTCTGAAAGTTCAGCATGCTTCCAACGTCCTGTTCGGGCTGACAACACTGCCCCTACTGCACAGAAATCCCAAACAGTGTTGTCAGCTCTGCATAAGTTCTCACCTTGTGGGCTACAAAACACCAATCTCTTTGCTCATCTGCATACTATGAGAGTGGCGTTCTGGAGTTCACATGGGGGAGAACTGGGCAGGGCTGACCACGCTGTTTGGGATGTTAATGCAGCAGAGGCTGCCTTGTCAGCTCCGTACAGGGAGTTAGGATCACACTGAATTTGGGCAGTTGTTCTGTATTTGTAACTTTTTAAGGGGGGTAAAACCTAGGGCAACGTGCATGCATTGTACTAAATTTGTTACTAATTCACAATCTTTTTATTAAAGTTGCAGATTAGAAATGCCCCCCAATAGGAGCCTGTGAGCAGTTATGTACCAAAAGATGACAGTAAATGGCTTCAAACATGCATGGGACAAGCATAGATTTATACCCTGAGAAAAAAGTTAACAAAAAAAACAAACTAGCACACAAAACACAGACTCAATGGACTACTTGGTCTTTTTCTGCCGTCACTTCTATTATTATTATTATTATTTTTTTTTTTAAATGACCTTATTCAATATTAGGCACCAAAATATAACCGTTCATTGAAGAGCAATGAACGACGCGTTAGTCATTGTTGTCAAGGTAGTGCCAAAATACAAGTAAATCTATAGAAACTGTTGCTAATAAAGTGAAAATATAAAAGAACGCAGTGTAAATTTTGTTTTTAACCACGTCCCGTCCGGTCCATGTACATAAACGGCCGGACGGGAGCAGTGCAGGAGCGTTCATAAATGGCGCCCGCATTTACAGCCGGTGCGTGCTCCCTGGGAGCACTGCGATCCGGTGCCCACAGCAAAACACCGATCGCTCTACGGGACCTCTGTATGAGGATCTGATCACTGATTGGCCAATCAGTGATCACATGAATAGTCACTTCTGACATCATTGCTTACTATGTGTGAAATCTGTGAATGATCACAGAGGTCGCATGGTACAAGGCTATTCAGAACAGCCTTATACCATGTGACAAGCTGTGACCAATCACAGCTCTCACAGTATTTCTCAATGCCTGCAAGAATGCAGACAGAGAAAAGGAGAAATGATTGCTTTTACAGCCTTTATGGGTGTAAAAGCAATGAGTGTAAAAAAAAAAAAATAAAAATCATCACCCCCTATATATCATCACTATGGTGATACTGTACTGCTAGGGTGACAGTATGTTAAATGAAACAAAAACATAAATTATATAAAAAGTATAAAACAATTTTTTGAAAAATTATAATTTTTGGTTATAAACTAATTTTGGGTAATTGTTTGTTTTACTAAAATAACTGAATACATTTTGGCCAAGACTTCTTATGAAGAAAGATTTATTTATTTGCAAAATTTTATAAGAAAAATATTTTTTTTTTTTTTTTTTTTTTTTTTTCCAAAAATTTTGTACTTTTTCATTTATATAAAGCAATAAAAATCTCAGTGGTGAATACCACCAAAATAAAGTTTTATCTGTCTCAAAAAATGTATATGGGTGCAGTGTTGCATGACCGTGCAATTGTCATTCAAGTTGTGATAGCACTGAAAGCTGAAAATTGGCCTGGACAGGAAGGGGGTGAAAGTGTCCGACTTCAAATGGTTAAAGTGATTATAAAGGGATTTTTAAAAATCAATGAACATGGTATACGTACCTGCTCTGTGTAATGGTTTGCACAATGCAGCCCAGATCATCCTCTTCTCGGGTCCTCTGCCAGTTCTCCGGCTTCTCCCCCCTTCTGAGTGACCCCATAGCAAACCGCTTATTATGGGGGCACTCATTATTATTATACAGTATTTTTATACCGCCGACAGTTCGCTCAGTGCTGTACATTACAATGGGGGACAGTACAATAACAATACAGTGCGATACATGAGGGGATCGAGGGCCCTGCTCCTTGGAGCTTACAATCTAGGGGGGAGGGGATAGTGGTACGGGAGGAAAAGCCGTTGGGGATGGAGTGGTAGGAAGAGTGGAGGTGATAGGCAGTTAGCAGAGGGAGGGTAGGCTTCCCTGAAGAAGTGGGTTTTTAGGCTGCGCCTAAAGGAGAGGAGAGTGGGTGATAGTCTGATGGATTGGGGTAGGGAGTTCCAGAGGATGGGTGATGTCCTGGAGGCGGGCATGGGAGGAGGAGATCAGGGAACTTGAGAGAAGGAGGTCTTGTGAAGAGCGGAGAGTGCGTTTTGGGTGGTATTTGGATATTAGGTCGGTGATGTAGTTTGGGGCAGTGTTATGGACAGCTTTTGTACATCCGTGTTAGCAGTTTGAATTTGATCCGTTGGGCAATCGGAAGCCAGTGGAGGGATTGGCAGAGGGGGGTGGCGGAGACGGAGCGGTTGGAAAGGTGGATGAGTCTGGCCCGCCGTGTTCAGGATCGTGTAGACCTTGAGACTCACAGGCTGTGATTTGACAACAACAGGAGCCAATGGCTCCTGCTGCTGATTTCAAGGCCAGTGAGGAGAGAGAAGGAAGAGAGCTGCAGCTGTCATGCACATTGCTTGATCAATATTGGACTCAGGAAAGTATAAAAGGGAGTGGGCGCTGAGGGGGGGGGAGCTGCACGTTTTTTTTCCCTACTGTAGACAATGCATTAAGGTAAAAAAAAAAAAAATTCTTCCTTTAGAACCACTTGTCAATTTTGCTCATACATGCACTTTAAAGTGGAACTCCTGCGATGAACATATATAAAAAACCGTGAGAGGTAAAATTTAGTTGCTGTTTGTCAGGTTCAGATCTGTTTTTTGTTGCCTTGTAATTCATCCATTAGTATATGCCAGATAGTACAGCCAGTGCAATGCCTCCGGCGCTACGGCTATGAGAGCTGCACTGTGAAAGCATCCTGCTGTTTATCTTTCTTTTACTCACCCCTTGTCCATTCACAGAAGCTAGTTACTATTTTGCCAGAATGTTTTTATTGTGCTGTTTTGGTTTCATATATTAATCTTTCATATTTCTTTTCAGATGAAACCCTGTTTGAATGCTAATCATGAGAGAGAGTCTTCAAGGCCACTCACTACAGTGCAGTTCCATCCTTCTGCACAAGTTGTTATGACAGCCGGCCTCGACCGATCAGTGTCACTGTTTCAGGCAAGCTGCATGTGCATGCTGTGTAATAACCTGTCGTAATAAACTGCACTCCAAACTCTAGGCAGATGGTTCTATTTAATGGCTGCCCAAGTCACTTCCCCTTAAAGCGGAGTTCCACAAAAACTGACTTTTAAAAAACAGCCGCTTACCTGTCCATCGGTCCCACGGTGTGTCCCCCGCAGCCCATTTCACCGGCCGTCCTGTATTCCTGGAGGCATCTTCAGTGTGGGCACCCGGCTGTGACAGCTTGCAGCTTCATAGCCGGGTACCTACTGCGCATGCGTGGGTACCTACTGCACATGCGTGAGTAGCGCTGCACTTCATGAATGATCCTGTAGTCTTCTAGGGCCTGTCACGTGTCCCAAAAGACTACAGGGAGGGAGGACACTTTCCGATCGCCTAGGCGATTGGACCGGAAGTGGGAGCGGGTACCTGTCAAATTCGGGTGCCTGCTCCCCCGCCCCCAAAAGGTGCCAATCCTTAATGGGGAGCGGTGGAGCAGTCCTTTAAAGCGGAACTTCCCCTTTTGAGTGGAGCTCCGCTTTAAAGCGGGACTATACTCACCTTGGCTCCCCCCCGCCCACAGTGATTTTAAAGCATGGAACCTCCGCTTATCTGATACCCCCGCTGCCATATTTGTCACCTTTGGGGGGGGGAGCGGGTACCTGGTTTAGAAAGGTATACGCTAACACTTCCAGCTCCGTTTGCCACTGTGAACTGAGACGGAAGTTTGGGCCCCCCCCACAGCCCTCTGGGACATTTCACAGGTCCCAGAGGACTGCGGCCCATTCACAAAGTGCAGTGTGCATCAGGAATCCGGCTGTGAAGCCGCAAGGCTTCATTTCCAGTTTCTCTTAGTCAAGATTATGGCGCCAGCACCCGACAGCTTGGGGTGAGGACACTGCTGGATCCCTGGACAGATAGGTGCCCTAATATTAAAAGTCAGCAGCTACAGTATTTGTAGCTGCTAACATATCAGGGGGGCCGTGGTCGAATCTCCACTTTTAATGCCAAAGATACAAAGTATGCCTTTTCTGCATTAAAAGTTCTGCGATGGAGCCCCCCTTCCAGGTATCGGTCGCCAGCCACTTTAATTGGTTGGGCCGATATGATGTCAGTTTAGCCGGCTTCAACATCGCCAAATCTTACAGTAACTTTAATGCAGAAGAGACAAAGCATGTCTCTTCTGCATTAAATATTCTTCCTATTTGACTTTTTAATTTTTTTTTACTTAAAGTTCCACTTTAAAACCTGAACTCCAGGCCCAGATGAAACACCTACACTCACCGACCACTTTATTAGGTACACCTGTTCAATTGCTTGGTAACACAAATTTTTAATCAGCCAATCACATGGCAGCAACTCAATGCATTAAGACATCTAGACCTGGTGAAGACGACATGCAGAAGTTCGCTCCGAGCATCAGAATGAGGAAGGAAGGGGATTTAAGTGACTTTGAACGTGGTATGGTTGTTGGTGCCAGACTGGTGTATTTTAAAAACTGCTGATCTACTGGGATTTTCACGCAGAACACCCCTGGTGAAATCAACACTTATCAGACCAGACGTTTTTCTAATCTTCTACTGTCCAATTTTGGCGAGCCTGTGTGAATTGTAGCCTCCGTTTCCTGTTCTTGGCTGACAGGAGTAGCACCCGGTGTCGACGTGTTGTGTGTTCAGGAATGGTATTCTGCATACTTTGGTTGTAATGAGTGGTCATTTGAGTTATTGTTGCCTTTTTATCTTTCGAACCAGCCTGCCCATTCTCTGATATCAACAAGGTATTTTAGTCCACACAACTGCTGCTCACTGGATATTTTCTCTGTTTTGGACCATTCTCTGTAAACTCTAGAGATGATTGTGCCTGAAAATCCCAGTAGATCAGCAGTTTTTGAAATGCTCAGACCAGCCCGTCTGGCACCAATGTTTTTGTTTTGGGTTCTTATGCCTCAGGAAGACTGCAAGCTCCACTGAGAAATTTGATTTAAAGTTGTAACCCTTTAAAAACTATTGAACTATTGAACAGCAAAAAACCCTATAGAAGGGGTGTAGTGTTTAGGAAAATTTATCTAAAACAAATACAAAGAGTCAGTCCGAACGCCCAAATCAAACAATACAAAGGATTATACCACGGCAGGTGCCACATATAGTAATTAGTAAACCAGTCAGCTAGGTATTTCCAATGCATGGATTATTGGGAATTAGTTGCGGCCACTATATCAGTAGTAGGTTAAATGTTGCAATGTAAGGCCTGAATGTTCAATCAACACAGATTTCCAATGACTTTATCAAAGATATGTGGCTTTGGAGGGATGAATGTGTTGGTCCCAATCAGGTATTACATGGAATCCATTCCTCCTTATTCCCAATAATCCATGCATTGGAAATACCTAGCTGACTGGTTTACTAATTACTGTATGTGGAAACTGCCGTGGGATAATCCTTTGTATGGTTTGATTTGGGCTTCCGGACGGATTCTATGTATTTGTTTTAGATAATTTGTCTGTGTCTTGTTTGTGTGTCTGAAGTTCAGTGTATAACATGTCTTAAGCCCATCAATGCTTGTTTTTCACACTGGTGATATTTAACCCCTTGACGCTGAGCGCACGTACATATGCGGCCTCTCAGCGTCTGGGCCTTGACGCTGAGCGGCAGCATATTTGCGTGCAATTAGAAAATACATATGTGCTGAGAGCGCGTGCCCTGTGCGCTCCCAGCACATATGTCCGTGACTCACGGAATGGTCCCGATCTCCCCTTTCGATCGGGACCTTTTCCGATCATGTGACCGCCGCGACAGAGAATCATGGTGGTCACATGACCCTAAAACCCTGCCCGCCTCTTGGCTGCTGAACCTCTTAGAGGGCTGGGAGGCGCCGACATGAAGTAGTTAAATGTATTTCTACGTTTTCGGAACTAAACATTTTGATATAGGATTTGAATAATAAAATTCAGGTTTCTTTTGTATACCAGTCTCCATTTTTGTCTTCAGAAGTAACCACTGTTCCCCTTCAATAGGGTTTTTTTGCTGTTGACAGTGGACTCTAGCTCATTGTTGGCTGAGAACGAGTCACAGGAATGCAGACTGAACTGCACTCCATAGGAGAAGTATGGCCAAAAAAGCTTTGTCCATACTTCTATTAATTTACAAGGAGAGTATATTGTCACAGTAAACTATTCGTTTTAATGGTACCGATCACATTGCATTTACTTTGTTTCTAGGTTGATGGCAAGTTAAACCCCAAGATACAAAGCATCCACTTGGAAAAATTTCCAGTTTATAAGGCTAGATTTAGTGCTGATGGGGAACAAGTAATCGCCACAGGATTGCGACAGAAAATGTTTTACGTGTACGACATGATGGGAGGCAGTATTATACCTATTCCAAGGATAAGAGGTAAGTGTGGCTCTTACTGAAAGCAAGAAAAAAAAAATGTATCAGAAAAATGTTTTATGGGGTACATCTGTGACATTCAGTTTGTACTGCATGCTGAACTCGGAACCCCAACACTGCCTGCAGTCTAACTGTCTAATTGTAACTAAACCTGAAACATTCATTAGCAATTTAGCTGCTGACATCAGCACTTGTCTTCTCAATTGTACACTGCATGAGCTTTCCTGTTGTAGGGTGGCTCTATGCCTATGCACTATGTCATATGGAGCCACCCTTGCCGTGCTCCCAGGCAGGACTGGATCCGAGTGTCTGTGCACTGTCAGCATCAGTACAAACACTCCTGAAACCTAATTGGCAAGTCATTCTACTCCTCCTCCACCTTTTTCATAACAGATGGGAAAACGGCTGGCGAGTTCACTGTTCGCTGGAGCTAGTATCTTTTAGTCCCCGGTCACAACGTCTGCAACTTGGCATGCGATTTTCATGCCATAAGACTTGCAAATTGCATGGCAAGTCACACCCTATTGTCTGCAGTTACAGCGGCCATATCGTGCGATTTGTATAGACATCTGTGTCAGATATCTTGCAAATTGCGCCTCAAATCGGCATGTCATCCGACTTTGAAATCATGCGGCTTACAGTGAAGTAGTATGATTTCAAAGTCGGGATCGGTGTGACCGGGGTGTTAAAGTCGTTGTTAACCTCGGACATGAAATATGAACAAAGCTTAGCCCTCTATAGTGTGTACTTGTCTCAATTAAGAGCATAAAGTGCCATTTCTGTCTGCTGCTTCATTCCTTTGCTATCAGCATGAATCACTTCTGACACCAAGAGAAAAATGGTGACAGGGGAGGGACCTCCAGCAGATAGACATCCTCTGCTCTGTTCCAGTGAGCTGTGTAGAGTTGGTGGGTGTGTGTCTCTTCCTTCCAATCAGCTTTTAGAGCTCTCTTCACTAAGCTCCGTAGTGTGTAATTTTAGCTCTCTGCCCTGTTTTCTGACCGCTCAAACAAATGTTAGAAATTCAGCACTTTGAATGGATGTAGAGGAGAAATTACGCAGATAAACAGCTACAACTTGTGTAGGAGGATTTGTATCATCTCTGTGTATCACCTGAGGCCAGTCACTTCACAAGGTATAGGTAAGGGTTTACAACCACTTTAAAGTTTCCAACTGTAAGTGCTTAGGTAAAAAGTTGAAGAAGCAGTTTACTTTGGGAATGTTTATATGATTGAGCTACTGTGTTATGGTAAAAGGCTGAACGTTTAATGCTACGTTAAAGTGACCTTGTCAGCTGATGGGGAAAAAAAAATCAAGATTAAAGCTCCATGTGTTAGAAGAGATCATGTACACATTCCACTGTTGACCTTAAAGTGTTACTAAACCCAAGACCCTGCATTCACTATATCTGGTCTCCCCGGACCCTGCATTCACTATATCTGGTCTCCCAGGACCCTGCATTCACTATCTGGTCTCCCCGGACCCTGCATTCACTATATCTGGTCTCCCCGGACCCTGCATTCACTGTATCTGGTCTCCCTGGACCCTGCATTCACTGTATCTGGTCTCCCTGGACCCTGCATTCACTGTATCTGGTCTCCCTGGACCCTGCATTCACTATATCTGGTCTCCCTGGTCCCTGCATTCACTATATCCGGTCTCCCAGGACCCTGCATTCACTGTATCCGGTCTCCCAGGACCCTGCATTCACTGTATCTGGTCTCCCTGGACCCTGCATTCACTGTATCTGGTCTCCCTGGACCCTGCATTCACTGTATCTGGTCTCCCTGGACCCTGCATTCACTGTATCTGGTCTCCCTGGACCCTGCATTCACTGTATCTGGTCTCCCTGGACCCTGCATTCACTGTATCTGGTCTCCCTGGACCCTGCATTCACTGTATCTGGTCTCCCTGGACCCTGCATTCACTGTATCTGGTCTCCCCGGACCCTGCATTTACTATATCTGGTCTCCCCGGACCCTGCATTCACTGTATCCGGTCTCCCCGGACCCTGTATTCACCTTTTGAAGAGCAGCATTGGGTGGGAGGGGAGTGTCTGATGGACTAGCAGGTTTAGATACACTAACAAATTGAAGCCAAATGCCAGCTAATACTTTTTAAGCAGTTACAGCAAACCGTTTTTGTCCTTTTGGAATAAATGTTTTCCATAATTAAGTATATCTAAAGGCAAAACCTTTTTTTTTTTTTTTTTTTTTTTTTTTAGTTTTGGATAGAGTGTAGTGGGATTAGAACCCATCAGGTTTTATTGCTGTCTGCGCTCCCATTAGGGAGGTTCTCCCTCTCTGTTTGTCCTGTTTACCATTATCATTGCAAGTAAAACAAAATCCTTAATTTTGGGTTGTCCTCGGATAATAATAGAGAAGACATTTTCCAATGGGGACACTAGTTCTAGTTACCTGGGGGTCCGTTTGCCAGGATGTTTGGCTATGGGACAGAAAGTGAAATCTCTCCAATGGGACACAGATAGTGAAAAAAAATCTGACAGGTTATAACCCTCCCTTACTCTATACAAAATGGGGAAAAAAAAACAAAACGTTTTGCCGATTGTTCTATTTTAATCATTTGTAAGCACGTCTGGTGGTAAATGGTTTGTCTCCGCCCTCTAACAGCTACATCTGCACAACAGCTTGTTCTGCTGATAATCCACAGACTTACAGGCCAGATCACCAGATGAAAATAAAAGAAAGAAAGCCTCAAAAAGAATTTCATATAAGAATTTGTAAGCTGCAGTATAATAAAAGTTTGCTTTTAGGATTAATAGCTTTATTGCGAGCACTTGCCTGCTGTGACGTGAATATGATAGGTCAATGTTTTTTCTTTGCAGCTAACTTAAATTACCTCTGTTTTAGGCTTGGAGGAAAAATGCGTTCAAGAGTTTGATGTGTCTCCAGATGGAACGTACCTGCTACTTAATGGGACCTCTGGATATGTACATCTACTGTCCATGAAGGTAACATAAGAACAGGCAAGGGTCAAGCATATAAACAAAGGAAGCCAGCGCTCAAATCTTCATGCAGACTAGGATAACTGTAACGGTCATTCGCTGAGGTGCAGCTCTTAGAACACCGAGAAATCTTGATACTGGTGAACAAAAGCAAAACAGGGCGCACTCTTCGTGCATTACCGTGGTGAAACACTACTTTATTTAAAAGCCTATACATGCATACTCACAAACCAAAGGGGGATATAAACCGAGAAGAAGAGTCCGGAATGAGGTTCCAAAGTGACGGTAGACCCTTGGTGAGGTAGGCTAACGCGTTTCGGGAGACGTACTCCCTTCTTCAGAGCATTAGCCTACCTCACCAAGGGTCTACCGTCACTTTGCACCATTATTACGGACTCTTCTTCTCTGTTTATATCCCCCTTTGGTTTGTGAGTATGCATGTATATGCTTTTAACACTTTGAGGACCGTAAGGTTTTGGAACGCCAAAAGAATCAATTTTTTTGTTTTTAAAGTTCGTACACTTCAGTTGCTGTAACTAAGCCATTTCATGAAATAATTGGCAAAAAGCTAGATCTATTTGTTTGATAAGAACTAATATTTTGACTCAAACCAAAAAAAAGAAAAAAAAAGAGTTTTAAGCTCTTAACCATTAGCCGCCCGGCCAATGGCCGTTTGGCGGCTTGAAAAGCGCTGCAGCTTTCCGAGTGCACGCCATTTGGCGTGCTCCCGCACATGCGCGGTTGCAGAGCGACGCAGCAGTGCAATCTGTCACCGCCAGTGCACCTCGGACACGGCCGATGACAGATCCGAGTACCGGCTCCCGTTGCCGGTACCATGTGACCTGCTGTGACCAATCACAGCAGGTCACATGACAGTTGTATACAATGGATGGCTTCATTCATGATGCCATCCATTGTATACTAGTGCCTAGCTGTGAATGGTCACAGCTAATCACATGCACATGTCATGTGATTAGCTGTGACCAAATCACAGCTAAGCACAAAAAAAAAAAAAAAAAAAGCTGAATGAATCGATTTCATTCAGGTAAATGCTTGCTTATAGCAAAGTAATTCTTTGCTATAAGCAAATTGTGTAAAAAAAAAAAAAAAAAAAATACTGATCACTTCCCCAAAGTAGTACAGTGTTACTATGGTAACATTGTACTATTTTGGTCATAGCACAATATGAAAAAAAATCTTAAAAAATAAAAAAAAATGTAATAAAAAATTAAATATAATAAAAAAAAAAAAAAAAAAATATATATATATATTTTTTTCATACTGTCACCAGTCAGTGTCGCTGTTCACCGCCATGCCAGTTATATGATGACGCTGTACTGCACTGGTGACAGTATGTAAAAAAAAAAAAATAGTGTGAAAATAATTTTTTTTAATTTTTTAATTTTCCGAAAAAATTATGACAAAAAAATACAACTTCAAAAAACTCGCCATGCCTCTTATGAAGTACGTCGGACTGTCTACTCTGCAAAAAGGGGTCATTTGGGGGATATCTGTACTGTTCTGACATTCTTGGACCTCAAGATATTAGATTGGCTGTCAGTACTTCAGGATTGATCAATATTCAGATCTATACCATAGTTTGTGAACTCTATAACTTTCCTACAAACTAAATAATACATCCTAATTTGGGTTATTTTCACCAAAGACATGTAGCAGAATACATCTCGGCCTAAATTTATGAAGAACAATTATTTAATTGTAAACTTTTATAACAGAAACAAAGAAAAATGTGTTTTTTTTTTCAAAATTTTTGGTCTTTTTTTGTTAATTTAGCAAAAAATAAAAACCCCAGCGCTGATTAAATACCACCAAAAGAAAGCTCTAGTTGTGTGAAGAAAATGATCAAATTTTAGTTTGGGTACAATGTTGTATGACCGCGCAATTGTCATTCAAAGTGTGAGAGCACTGAAACCTGAAAACTGGCCTGGGCAGGAAGGTGTAAAATTGCCCGGTATTGAAACGGTTAATCAGATGATACACGCAATTACAAACATGGGACAAATACATCCCTTGGTCCTCAAAGGGTTAATTACCCTGATATGGTAGCCCCTTCCCAGCCAGTGTGATAAGTACAGGGATAGTGTATAGTATTGTCACTGATCACTATTAGTGTCACTGGTGATGTCCGTGTACCTCCCACAGTGTCTGTGTCAGATTGCCCGCCACACTATCACATTTCCACTATATGTCGCTGATCACTGCCATTAGTATAAAAAATAAATGTTTCATTGTATATACCATAGTTTGTAGACGTTGTAACTTTCACACAAACCAACATTGGGATTTTTTTTTTGATCAAAGATGCAGAATACATTTTGGCCTAAATTTATAAAGAAATTACATTTTTAATATTTAAAAATATTTTTTTCCCTAAAATTTTCAGTCTTTTTTTTCATTCATGTAATAAATACCACCCAAAAAAAGTTCTATTTGTGTGAAAAAAAAAATGATACACAGGTGCAGTGTTGCATGACTGCACAATTACTAGTTAAAGTAGCACAGTGCTAAATAGCAGTAAATGGCCTGGTCATGAAGGAGGTAAAACCTTCTGGAGCTCAAGTGGTTATTTATGTGAAGTTTTGTTACAGAGGCAAGAAAATTCTTAATGACTGATTTCATTGTTTGTTATATTAAGACTAAGGAGCTGATTGGAAGTATGAAGATGAACGGAAAAGCTATAAAAGCTGGCTTCACAGCGGACAGCAGTAAAATCTTCTCAAGTTCAAGTAAGATGTTTTAAGATGTTAAATGTTCACCTGGGGGACACAAATGAGGAAATATAACTGCTTCCAGGAGGATTCATGCAGACAGATGACTCCTCGTTGAGTAATAGTAATGCTTTGCTTAGAGGAAAAGGCTGGTGAATTTTAAAGGCTCCATTAGAAACAGTTTACCTTTTTCTAAAAAAAAAAAAAAAAAAAAAAGTATAAATGTACCTCCTTCTTTTTTTTTTTTTTTTTTTTTTTTTTTTAAATTATGCATTTATTGTTTTTTTTATTAGGAGCCTATAAAAACTTGCACCCGTGGATCACAGGCGCAGTGTCGGGCTCTTGCTTTTGAGTGTAGCTGTTGGGCAGGCAGTTGCTGAATTGCAGGAAGAATCGGTGAACTACTAGAGCGCTCACCCACACCCTCATAGATCATTGAGAACAATAAGGCCCCAGCCGCATTTATTGAGGGTAGTTGTAGTTCATTCATTCCCAGAAATCTGTGAATATATGACGTGACTGGGTGGGCAGAATCCCGGCACAGCTGCTCTGTTTTTAAGTTGTGACGGCGGATATGGGGCGAGGATCCCTTCCCCGCTGTCATAACGGTGGCTCAGGGGTGGGGGCTGCTGATTTTAATAAAATATTTCGCAAATATTTGAATACAGGTATAACATCTTATGAAAGGTGAACTTATCCTTTTAATGTGGAATTCAGTCTTTGGCAGAGTGATGAAGGGTTATTATTATACAGGATTTATATAGCACCAACAATTTTCGCAGAGCTTTACAACATGTAGGTAGACATTACAGTTACAATACAATTTGGTACAAGAGGAAGCAGAGGGCCCAGCTCATTAGAGCTTACAATTATAGGGTTAGAACGTCTGTGTTTTTTTTTTTTTTTTTTTTTCTTCTTTCCTATTTGGTAAGTTCATTCCCCTGTCCTGTCCAGGTACCAAAAGTGAGGGGAAGTTCATATATTGACCATTATAACAGAAAGTAAGTGACAACCTCCTAACCTGTGCACTTGTCCTCACATTTGAGATATTGCCTATTTCTTCCTAAACAGAATGCAAGAGGTGCTATCGTGATTTTTTTTTTTTTTAATCATTCTTGGAAACACTTATACACTATACTAGCGTTTGCAATAGCACCGCTGTCTACACAAGTACAACGGCACACAGCAATTTATGGTAATGACTGGCTGTATGCTGCAACCTGGGATACCTGGGTGGAGCAAATAGGGCTGAAGTTATGCTGAACACGCTTAGGTGTCCCATGTGCAAGAACCCCAGTGATTCTCAAGGCTGTAATTAAAGTGTTAATAAACCCAGGACCCTGCATTCACTAAATCTGCTCTCCCCGGACCCTGCATTCACTATATCTGCTCTCCCCGGACCCTGCATTCACTATATCTGCTCTCCCGGACCCTGCATTCACTATATCTGCTCTCCCCGGACCCTGCATTCACTATATCTGCTCTCCCCGGACCCTGCATTCACTATATCTGCTCTCCCCGGACCCTGCATTCACTATATCTGCTCTCCCCAGACCCTGCATTCACTATATCTGCTCTCCCCGGACCCTGCATTCACTATATCTGCTCTCCCCGGACCCTGCATTCACTATATCTGCTCTCCCCAGACCCTGCATTCACTATATCTGCTCTCCCCGGACCCTGCATTCACTATATCTGGTCCCCTCGGACCCTGCATTCACTATATCTGGTCCCCTCAGACCATGCATTCACTATATCTGGTACCCTCAGACCCTGCATTCACTATATCTGGTCCCCCCGGACCCTGCATTCACTATATCCGGTCTCCCCGGACCCTGCATTCACTATATCCGGTCTCCCCGGACCCTGCATTCACTATATCCGGTCTCCCCGGACCCTGCATTCACTATATCCGGTCTCCCCGGACCCTGCATTCACTATATCCGGTCTCCCCGGACCCTGCATTCACTATATCCGGTCTCCCCGGACCCTGCATTCACTATATCCGGTCTCCCCGGACCCTGCATTCACTATATCCGGTCTCCCCTCAGACCCTGCATTCACTATATCCGGTCTCCCCTCAGACCCTGCATTCACTATATCCGGTCTCCCCTCAGACCCTGCATTCACTATATCCGGTCTCCCCTCAGACCCTGCATTCACTATATCCGGTCTCCCCTCAGACCCTGCATTCACTATATCCGGTCTCCCCTCAGACCCTGCATTCACTATATCCGGTCTCCCCTCAGACCCTGCATTCACTATATCCGGTCTCCCCTCAGACCCTGCATTCACTATATCCGGTCTCCCCTCAGACCCTGCATTCACTATATCCGGTCTCCCCTCAGACCCTGCATTCACTATATCCGGTCTCCCCTCAGACCCTGCATTCACTATATCCGGTCTCCCCGGACCCTGCATTCACTATATCCGGTCTCCCCGGACCCTGCATTCACTATATCTGGTCTCCCACAGTACACAGAACATGGAAATACAATTATTTTAGTAAATATAAACTGCTAAATACCTTTTTCTCATCAGCAGTTAGAGCAGTCTTGTGACTTCTATCAGTGTCCAGCAGAGCAATGGTTAAAGCTTGTAGGAGGAGTTTTCTTTCTGCTCTAGGAGGATGCAAAACCTCCTGACCTCTGTCTTGACAGTGCTGATTGGTCCTGTGCTGATCACCTACTCTCCCAGGAGAAAAAAAAAAAAACCTCTCTAGCCATGCACACTAAACTGAGCATGTGCATAATGGCTATGGTTCAGTCTGTCTTATCAGGAGATAAGATGTGGACATTTTGAACAAGAGGAGGAGCAGAGAAGATAGGATCAAAGGCCTTTTACACAATGCAGAGGATTAACCCCTTAGGTTCCACAGTGAGTATAATACGCATGCTTTACTGCATCTACAGACTGATTGTAATGTTGTAAGTTTTTAGTAACACTTTAAAAAGAGAAAAACAAAACAATTATATTTACCTGCTCTGTGCAATGGTTTTGCACAGAGCAGCCCCAGTACTTTTCTTTTTGGGTCTCCTGTCGTCTGTCCTGGCTTCTTCCCCCTCCGAGTGCCCCCCAATAGCAAGCCTCTATTGAGAGAGACCTGGGAGAGCTGTGGCTCTCATAAATATCGATGGATCAAGACGGGGCTCAGGTAAGAATAAGGGGGGCTGAGGGGGAGCTGCACCCAGGTTTTTTTTTTTTTTTTTTTTTTTTCGCCATAATCTATAGAATGCATTAAGGTAAAACACTTTTTTGCCTTTGGAACCGCATTAAGCATTCTCACTATTCCGAGGGAAGGAAATGTGGGTGTAGAGATCCTACTGTAAGAATTCTGAATAGACAACAGAAAATGACAGACTATTCAACCCTCAGAAATCCATCCAGATTTTAAGTATTACACCTGGGCTTATAAGATCTTTATTATTTTTTTGCACTGAAATTCTTGGTGTTTTATTTTTCATTCTACTCATCACTTCCTAACCTTTCATAATTTCTTCTTCTTTAGGCGATGGTGAGGTGTATGTTTGGGATGTAAAAAGCAGGCGCTGCCTTAATCGATTTCAGGACGATGGCAGCTTGTGTGAGACGTCTTTGGCGCTGTCAAAGAATGGTCGCTTTGTATCTTGTGGGTAAGCATTACGTTGAGACATCTATAAACAGTGACTAGAAAAAAGTACACATAAACAGCGCTATGTCAAAACACAATGTCCAATTGATGTAAAAAGATAAAGGAAAGAAAATAAACAAACTTCCATCAAAAAAAATTCTAAAATAAAATTATAATGTGAAAAGTTCAATTCATTCCCGTGGTAAGTGTCTCTTTTAAGATAAAGTGATCCACCATCCATGTGATCATGCAGTGATTAACTAGTTGCCGACCGCAGATAGCTGAATGACGGCTGCACTGTGGCTGGCCAGTTCTGGGAGGGCGTCATAATGACGTCCTCCCAGAATGCGCTCTCCTGCGTGCCCCCGGCAATCTCCATGATAGCTGTGTCCTACGGACACAGCTGATCACGTGATGTAGTAAAAGGCCAATCACAGCGGACTTTTACAACGTGATCAGCCGTGTCCAATGACACGCTGATCACCGGGAAATGCAATTCCCGGTTCTTGGCTGCATTTTCCTCATGCTGCCAGAGCGTGAGGAAAGTACAGCCGAGAACTGGCAGTTGTCAGAGCAGGGATCGGCACCCAGAAGTGCCACCCACCAGTTCTGTCCACAAATACCCACCAGTTCCACCCAGGGTCCCTTTGTGACCAGCAGTGCCCCCCATCACTGACCAGCAGTGCCTAGAAGTGCCGCCCAGCAGTGCCACCAATCAGTGCCCAGCAGTACTGCCAGTCAGTGCAGCCTCATCAACGCACATCAGTGAAGGAGAAAAATTACCTGTGTGCAAAATTTTATACTAGAAGCAAAGAAAATTTTTGCTCTTTTTTTGTTTAGAGCGAAAAGTAAAACACCCAGCAGCTATTAAATACCACCAAAAGAAAGCTCTATTTGTGAGGAAAAAAATGATAAAAATTTCATATAATGTTGCATGACCGTGCAATTGTGATTCAAAGTGCAACAGCTCTGAAAGCTGAAAATTGGCCTGGTAAGGAAGGGGGTATAAGTGCCCGGAATGGCAAGTGGTTAACACCCCATTGGATTCAACACTCACCAGAAGCTGGCCGTGTTGTTATTTTAAAACGACAGCTTGGTTTAAATATTTAATTACTGGTTTAATCTTTTTTTTTTTTTATGTATACCAATATTTTCACCATTTCTAGAGCGCGGGATGTAGGCTGGTTTCATCCTATATCTTTTTAATTTATTACATAGAGACAGCCTTAAAAGAAAACCTTGTCCCCATCAAATGCCAGTCAAAGCTGAGTGCTGGGCACAAAAGCTTATATTTAACAACCCAAATATTTCCTTGTAAAACTAGTGACAATATCATCACTGCTTTACACAACCTGAACAGAAAGCCGAGCTTACAGAAAACTGCACGAGGGGGCGGAGGCAAGACCAGTCACCCTGCAAAGGAGAGAGCGCAGCAGCGACTGGTCTTGATTACAGGAAGCTCCTGCACAGAGACAAAGTTTCACACTAGATTGCGGCCCAGAACCTGAAGGAAATTCACAAAGTACACCAAGATCCAAAGAGGAAGACACGACTCTTGAATTAAGTCAATATTTGCTGATCCCAGAGTTCACATTTAACATCAGCATCTCAAGCTAAAGTTCTCATGCCAATGCTGGGCTGGATTTGTATGAAAATGATTTGGCCTTGGTGTGCTGAAGACAGACCTCTTGTATTTATGTTCCACATGCATAAAGCTGCTTGCCCTTCCTTTCCATGGCATTGATCATGATCCTTGCACAATCTGCAAACAATGTCGAAACAGATCTTCCCCGGCCCCTGCCATTAACTTGGCTGACGAGGGTTGGTGATGGGCATCAGTTGCATGTGTCTGGAATGTTTTTGAGGTGATAAAAAAGATATTCAGTACAATGAGGGCAATTTTCAGTAAAATACAGCCTTGCATATGCATTAAGGAGTACATTTACTATGGAGGTTTATCTTCATAGGCATTGGGTCGGTGATGGGGTCTCTTTAGACTTTATGAACATCTTTAAATTAATTATTTTTTATTTATTTTTTGTTTAAATATCAAACATGTCATACCTGCTCTGTGTATTGGTTTTGCACAGAGCAGCCCTGATCCCTCTCTTCTCAGGTCCCCCGCTGGCACTCCTGGCCCCCCCCCCCTGCTGAGTGCCCCCAGAGCAAGCCGTTGCTCTGGGGGCACTTGTGCATGCTCGCTTTTCTCCATAAGACACACAGTTCAGCTTGAGCCCCACTCCAGCCTCACAGGCTGTGATTGACAGCAGTGGGAGCCAATGGCTGCTGCTGCTGTGTCTCAGCCAATGGGGAGAGCCGAGGCTCCCACGCACAACGCTGGATCAAGATTGGGCTCAGGTAAGTATTAGGGGGGCTGTGGGGGGAAGAAGCACACAGAAGGTTTTTTACCTTACTGCATAGAATGCATGAAGGTAAAAAACCTTCAACACTTTAAAGCGGAGTTCCACTCCGCCCCCCCCCCCCCCCCCCCCCACTACCATATTTGGAACCTTTTGGGGGGGGTACCTGGTTTTGACAGGTACTCGCTCTCAGTTCGCCGTGGAGAAGTGAGCTGGAAGTTTGGCTCCCTTCTCCCTCCCGTAGCCTTCTGGGAACTTTCACAGGTCCCAGGAGACTGCCGGACCAATTAGGAGGTACGGCACGACTCGCGCATGCGCAGTGAGCACCAGGCTGTAAAGCTGCAAGCTGTCACAGCCTACTGCCCACAGTTGAGATGCCGGCACCTTGGAGTGGAGAAGGGACGGTGCGGGTGAGAACATCGCTGGACCCTGGGACAGGTGATTCTGTGTTTTATTAAAAGTCAGCAGCTACAGTTTGTTACTGGGGGAGGATCACCAGATGAAAATGGAGAAAAAGCCTGAAGACAGAATCTAAGGGAGCCACCACATCTCGGGGACTAGTAAGCTGCAACATAACTTTTTTTCTTGGGTTGAGATGAATTTTGACCATTCTGACTTGTTTTAAACCTCTTTCTCTTTTAACCCTCTAGTACACAGGCATTTTCTGACTTGCAGTATATCTTTCAGTTCCAGTTCCGGGGTGGTGAATATCTATAACTTCGATGACTGTCTGCAAAGCACAAACCCAAAACCAGTGAAATCCATCATGAATCTTGTGACAACAGCCTCGTCACAGGTGTTTAGCCCTCAAACTGAAATCTTAGCCGTAGCGTCTCACACGATGGACGACGCTGTCAAATTAGTAAGGGAGTTTTTCTGTTTTTGATATTTGTTAAAGTGGATTAAGAGCCAAAACTTTTTTTTTTTTTCTTCAGATGCAGTGTGGAATGGTTAAACTTCCATCAGGTTCTTACTGCTGTGTCCCCCAGTGGGGAGATTCACCCTCATCTCTTTGTCTTGATAATCACTGTCACCAGGGTAGAAAGACATAGGGAAATCTCTACATTAGAGTAGTCACTGAAGCAACTGTAGGGGATCTTCCAATAGGGACATGTGTTCTGATGACAACTAAGGCCTGGTTTCCATAGGCGTACTTCGGTGTACCCCCCTGAAAGGGCTGTATTTTCATTCTATGCATCCCCATGCAGTCAGTTTCATTTATGCCAGTTGGGATGCAGTGACTTCATGAACACAGCAGTTGGACAGCCATATGAGTGTACGAGCCCAAATGTAGACAGTGTGCATTTGGGGCCGTGCACCCAGACTTTTGTCAATGGCTGAGTCTGTGCAGCTGCTGTATCCCAATTGACATGAATGAGACTGCCTTCACAGGGATGCATGGAACACCCGTGTACACCTGTGTGGGTAAACGTGGCCCTTGCATGGGTGCATGCTGTAGTACGTCTGTGACTGAGAAAAAGGAGAGAAGCGCCTCTAAGTGCAATAAGTCTTTTAATTCAAGTCTAAATGTAGAAACACTCACATGTGTGAAGTAATCATAAGCATAAAAACCGTGGTTAACAATCGTTAACAGTGGGGTGGTAACCCGGGTGAAGAGCCGTCATCTCTCTGCGATGTGGGGAGGTCAGCTCTCTGCTGGAACAGCGTGGTGGCTGCTTGAAAAAGGAGTGCACTGTCGCCTTCCACGGCCAGTGCATGCTCCGAAACGCGTCAAAAAAAGCAGTGCACCCTGGGATCTGACGTCATCACGGCCACGCCGTCGCTACGTTCCAGCGTGCGTTCCATCCGGCTCTGAGGGAGGACGTGCATGAAGGCTGGCCTCACCGCTGTTCCCCCTCCAGCCACCACGCTGTTCCAGCCGAGAGCTGACCTCCCCACATCGCAGAGAGATGACGGCTCTTCACCCGGGTTACCACCCCACTGTTAACGATTGTTAACCACGGTTTTTATGCTTATGATTACTTCACACATGTGAGTGTTTCTACATTTAGACTTGAATTAAAAGACTTATTGCACTTACTCCTTTTTCTCATCTACAGAAGTTGCTACAGCTTATTTGGAAGCCTTGCCCTCAGTGCCACACGGAATCCTACGCTCTTCATACAGTAGCCACTAATACCACCATCACCCATACTACCATTTCCCAGGACTTTGCAGTGTTTGCGCTGTTACAACCCTTCCTCATTTTTTCTGAATCACGTCTGTGACTGAGGCCTAAGTGGAGCTTTCCCCTCACAAAAGTTCAATCATATGATATTTTGATTGTACATATATAGAGCTGCATCTCTATGCATGTACAGTCTCTCAAGATTTCAGTTGTACATGTGTAGAAATGTTTAATGCAAATGCCATGATTGTAGGCCTTTTCTGTCACCTATGAAGCCAGGCCAAAATACTCCTAATGCTTTCATGCATATGTCCTGGCTTATTTCTATGACTTGAGCTTCAAAAAAAATGGCTACTGATCCTCCTTCTTTGAGGACCTCTAAAGTGATTATTACTTTAGTTGTTAAGAAGGCTTAGTGGCCATTTTGTTGTAGCCAATGTTCTGAAAATGAAATGGTATGGTAAGCATTGGAATTTTTTGGCCATGCTTTATGGGTGACAGAAAAGGCCTATAGGTATGGCATTTTGAATTAAAAATAATTTTACAGACCGCACAGTGTATTTTTTTTTTTTTTTTTTACTACAAACTGTTTATTAACAAAAGAGCGTAGAGTAAAAAACAGTACATGAGGATAATCACATGTCTGGTATAAAGCAATGAGAGTTTCCACAATAAAATGTAGGCGCGATAAAAGTTTGTAATGAAGTGCACCTCAAGTAGATTCAGCAGGAGAGGAATAATAAAGAGAAAAAACATGTCCTACATGTACCCGGAGTTCACAACTTACACTGTCACTAGCAGTCTAGTAAGTGAACATAAAACATAATGTCAAATATTAAAAAGCATTGAGAAAGTCTAAGTCATATAAGACCAACGGGATGCATTGAATAGGAAGTAGTACATTCATAGATCCACAGTACTAACATTGGCATAAGTAGAGGCAGAACCCAGCCACTTGTCCCAGATTTTGTGGTATTTAGCAGGATACCCTCTATGAACATATATTACCTTCCCATAGAGCTGTGTTTCTCAACTCCAGTCCTCATGGACCCCCAACAGGTCATGTTTTCAGGATTTCCATTATTTTGCACAGGTGATTTGATCAGTTTCACTGCCTTAGTAATTACCACAGCTGTTTCATCTGAGGGAAATCCTGAAAACATGACCTGTTGGGGGTCCATGAGGACTGGAGTTGAGAAACACTGCCATAGAGCAACGTGATTTTAACAGCAGCCACCCATTCTTGAATTGGTGGTGATGCCCTGAACCAAACTCTAGCAATGAGCATTCTGGCTACAAAAAAGGATTGTTTCAAAAAATATGATGGTGTTGTCTGGATTTAGGAAAAAAGCCCAAAAGGCATTGTTTGGGGTAAAGGGTGAGACGGAGGCCAATTTGATCGTGCAAAAACCAAACCACCTGCGACCAGTAACCTTGGATAACAGGGCAAGGCCATAGTAAGTGATAAAAGGTACCACTGGTCTCCCCACAGCTAGGGCAGAAGGGTCTGTAGTGTGGTCAGTATCCGAACAAACATATCGGAGTCAGATAGGTTCTGTGTAGAATATACAGATGAGTAAGATGGTCAGAGAGCTTTAGGCAAATCACCAGGTTTTCAATTGATAAGCCAAGGTTATAGCGGCTGGAAGGCAATTGTAGACTATGGGATTGAGCTTCCAAGACTCTGAACCTAAGATTACATCCAGTAGATATAGAGAATTCCGTTTCGGGGTGGAATTACCAAATTGAGCGGGCAGTGCATGGCGGATTTGGGGGTTGCGAAAAAGCATAGAGTTAGGAAACCGAAATTCCATTTTGAATTCCTTTTGAATGCCGTGATTAGAGAACACATGCGATACATAGACCACACCTCTAGACACCCACAATTCAGAGTCGGGGATGGATAATAATTCTGGCATGCAAGTATTATCCCAGAGGGGTGTGTGGGCATGTACAGGTGGGGCATTCACCCTGTGTGAGGCCAGCTCCCAGATTCTGTAATGGTGGTACAATAGTCCCCTATGACCCCCTAAGTCCATAGGATCTCTTAAGAGGAGTTGGAGGGGGTGTGTAACTGAGTGGGCGATTGGGGAACATACCAGTGCAAGATAACCGTCCCTATCCCCCTTATCTAAATGAAAGAAATGGGGCAACTGTGCAACCAAGTAGTATAGGGTAAAATCTGGAAAAGCCATTCCCGTAAATGGGTTGGGTTGTTAAGGACACGCCAGGACAATTTACAACGGGTATTACCCAAGACACAGATGTCAAGTAATGATTCCGTAGACTTGAATGAATGCCAGCCTTTTTTGACCTGGGGTGCCTTGGCAAAATGCCTATAAATTGCCCCAAACTGTATACAAGCTTGCATGTGCCTTTTAATCAAAAACACAAGTTTTCATTGTGCACCATTACAACCTTCTAGCTGCCAGAGTTCTATCCACCAATGACATCATTGGTTGATAAGGAGGATGTCGGGTGCCTGCACATTATCCTAGTTTGCCCCTCTCCTTCAGCACTGGGGTCATATTAGGTAAATGAGGGAGAAAAATGGTTGGAAGAGAATTGGAATACTAGTCAGTACCAGTGAGCAAGGGTATTTTCTTTGGAGAATAAATCCCATCTAACGTTGGGTGCCCTACATATATGGATGTTGCTATATATGCAAAATTATTTAGTTTTTTGCATTTTAGAATGGGGTGCCTTGAGATTGTGCATCATTTTTAAGGGTGCCTTGACTGAAACAAAAAGGTTGAGAAACACTGATGTACGCAATGGCAGCTACACTGGAGCATGCCAGGGAATGTAAAATATTTTGGGTATCATTTTAGTTAGGTTGATGCATCCTATGACCTCAAAAGGAAGCCAAGCCCAGGTCTGCATTTTGGATTTCAATAGCATGTATAAGATTAAGCCTGACATAATCTTCCGGGGAGCAAGTAACTAAAATTCTGAGATTTTATAGAGCTGACTTGGACAAAAGAATCAGCAGCTGAACTGCTGTGGGAGCCCCAAAATCCAGTGGGAGGATTTGGGATTTGAGACACGGTGTAATTTAAACTGCTGGGGCCTCCTTGTCTCCATGGGCCAGTTTCTGTAAAAGGTGAACTTAGTCTTTGAGATTTCTACTCCCTTCCTATTATGTCTTCAGGGGAGGAGGTAAGAGGAATTCCCCCAATAGGACTTTCTCACTGTGACATTTTTCTTCACCCTATGTTGTGTCATGCAAATACAACCTGATAATTCTGAATTAACACTTTGCACACTGCTATACACCCTTACATCTTTCTAGCAAATGTTTTGCCTAAAAACATGGATTTGGGTTCAAATTTATTACAATAGCATGTAGAAGCTGGCCAACCGCATCAAAGTAATCCCTCTCTGGCCAGTCCCTACTCTGTTCTGCAAAATGCCAAATACAGTCAGGTCCATAAATATTGGGACATCAACACAATTCTAACATGTTTGGCTCTATACACCACCACATTGGATTTGAAATGAAACGAACAAGATGTGCTTTAACTGCAGACTGTCAGCTTTAATTTGAGGGTATTTACATCCAAATTAGGTGAACGGTGTAGGAATTACAACAGTTTGCATATGTTCCTCCCACTTGTTAAGGGACCAAAAGTAATGGGACAATTGGCTTCTCAGCTGTTCCATGGCCAGGTGTGTGTTATTCCCTTTAATTATCCCAATTACAATGAGCAGATAAAAGGTCCAGAGTTAATTTCAAGTGTGCTGTTTGCATTTGGAATCTGTTGCTGTCAACTCTCAAGATGAGATCCAAAGAGCTGTCACTAACAGTGAAGCAAGCCATCATTAGGCTGAAATAACAAAACAAACCCATCCGAGAGAGAGCAAAAACATTAGGCGTGGCCAAAACAACTGTTTGGAACATTCTTAAAAAGAAGGAACGCACCAGTGAGCTCAGCAACACCAAAAAACCTGAAGACCACGGAAAACAACTGTGGTGGATGACCAAAGAATTCTTTCCCTGGTAAAGAAAACACCCTTCACAACAGTTGGCCAGATCAAGAACACTCTCCAGGAGGTAGGTGTACAGTTGCAAGAAAAAGTATGTGAACCCCTTGGGATTACGTGGAGTTTTGCATGAATTGGGCATAAAATGTGCTCTGAATGTCATCTAAGTCACAACAATAGAAGAACACAGTCTGCTGAACATAATACTACACAAACATTAGATGTTGCCATGGTTTAATTGCACATAACATGTAAACATTCACAGTGCAGGGAGGAAAAAGTATGTGAACCTTTGGACTTAATAACTGGTTGACCCTCCTTTGGCAGCAATAACCTGAACCAGACATTTCCTGTAGTTGCAGATCAGACCTGCACAACGATCTGGAGTCATTTTGGACCACTCCTCTTCACAAAACTGTTTCAGTGTAGCAATATTCTTGGGATGTCTGGTGTGAATCGCTCTCTTAAGGTCATGCCACAGCATTTCAATCAGGTTGAGGTCAGGACTCTGACTGGGCCACTCCAGAAGGCGTATTCTGTGCTGTTCCAGCCATTGTTTTGTTGAATTACTTGTATGCTTTGGGTCATTGTCCTGTTGCATCACCCATCCTCTGCGGAGCTTCAGTTGGCGGACAGATGGTCGTACGTTTTCCTGCAAAATGTCTTGATAAACTCTGGAATTCATTTTCCCATCAATGACAACAATCCGTCCAGGACCTGAGGCAGCAAAGCAGCCCCAAACCATGATGCTCCCTCCGCCATGTTTTACAGTGGGGATGAGGTTTTGATGTTGGTGTGCTGTGCCTTTTTTTCTCCACACATAGTGTTGTGTGTTCTTCCCAAACAACTCAATCTTGGTTTTCATCTGTCCACAGTATATTTTGCCAGTAGTGCTGTGAAACATCCAGGTGCTCTTTTGCAAACTTCAAACGTCCTGCAATATTCTTTTTGGACAGCAATGGCTTCCTCCGTGGTGTCCTCCCATGTACTCCATTCTTGTTTAATGTTTTCCTTATTGTAGATGTGTCAACAAAAATGTTAGCATGTGCCAGAGATTTCTGTAGGTCTTTAGCTGACACTCTGGGATTCTTCTTTACCTCATGCAGCATTCTGCGCTGTGCTCTTGCAGTCATTTTTACAGGACGACCACGCCTAGGGAGAGTAGCAACAGTGCTAAACTTTCTCCATTTGTAGACAGTCTGTCTTACCGTGGACACATGAACCTCAAGGCTTTTGGAGATACTTTTGTAACCCTTTCCAGCTTCATGCAAGTCAACAATTCTTGATCGTAGGTCTTCTGAGAGCTCTTTTCTGCGAGGCATGGTTCACATCAGACAGTGCTTCTTGAAACCAGTAAACCCAAAACAGGTGTGGGTTTTTTAAGGGCAGGACAGCTGTCAGCAACACATCCAATATCATCACACTGATTGGAATCAAGGTTGGCTCACTCCTGGCTCCAATTAGCTCTGGGAGAAGTAATTAAGCTAGGGCTTCACATACTTTTTCCTCCCTGCACTGTGAATGTTTACATGTTATGTGCAATTAAACCATGGCAACATCTAATGTTTGTGTAGTATTATGTTCAGCAGACTGTGTTCTACTATTGTTGTGACTTAGATGACGTTCAGAGCACATTTTATGCCCAATTCATGCAAAACTCCACGTAATCCCAAGGGGTTCACATACTTTTTCTTGCAACTGTATGTTTGTCAAAGTCAACAATCAAGAGAAGACTTCACCAGAGTGAATACAGAGGGTTCACCACAAGATGTAAACCATTGGTGAGCCTCAAAAACAGGAAGGCCAGATTAGAGTTTGCCAAACGACATCTAAAAAAGCCTTCACAGTTCTGGAACAACATCCTATGGACAGATGAGACCGAGATCAACTTGTACCAGAGTGATGGGAAGAGAAGAGTATGGAGAAGGAAAGGAACTGCTCATGATCCTAAGCATACCACCTCATCAGTGAAGCATGGTGGTGGTAGTGTCATGGCGTGGGCATGTATGGCTGCCAATGGAACTGGTTCTCTTGTATTTATTGATGATGTGACTGCTGACAAAAGCAGCCGGATGAATTCTGAAGTGTTTCGGGCAATATTATCTGCTCATATTCAGCCAAATGCTTCAGAACTCATTGGACGGCACTTCACAGTGCAGATGGGCAATGACCCAAAGCATACTGCAAAAGCAACCAAAGAGTTTTTTTAAAGGGAAAGAAGTGGAATGTTATGCAATGGCCAAGTCAATCACCTGACCTGAATCCGATTGAGCATGCATTTCACTTGCTGAAGACAAAACTGAAGGGAAAATGCCCCAAGAACAAGCAGGAACTGAAGACAGTTGCAGTATAGGCCTGGCAGAGCATCACCAGGGATGAAACCCAGCGTCTGGTGATGTCTATGCGTTCCAGACTTCAGGCTGTAATTGACTGCAAAGGATTTGCAACCAAGTATTAAAAAGTGAAAGTTTGATTTATGATTATTATTCTGTCCCATTACTTTTGGTCCCTTAACAAGTGGGAGGCACATATGCAAACTGTTGTAATTCCTACACCGTTCACCTGATTTGGATGTAAATAGCCTCAAATTAAAGCTGACAGTCTGCAGTTAAAGCACATCTTGTTCGTTTCATTTCAAATCCATTGTGGTGGTATATAGAGCCAAAAATGTTAGAATTGTGTCGATGTCCCAATATTTATGGACCTGACTGTACTTGTGTTAACCTGTATAGTGCCAACATGGGGCAGACTGACTAGACCTGGGTCTTCACTCCTCCAGCTCTGTCTGACCTGAACCATGCAGTTGAAGTGGAGGAGAAATGTCTGTGCTCAAATCCAAATAACTGACCTGATACCTGAATGCAGTGGGATCTTTTTGTGCATCAGTATGTCAGATAGGCCTGCCCAATGCTGTGATGAATGCCCTCAGATACAGTTTTTCATGCAAAGAAACTTACCTGCTCTTTGGACAATCTTGTGACTTGGCTTCAGTTTCTGTGGCTTAAAAGGAGGTGGGGCTTTAACCACACATAGGGATCTTGCAGGGTTCCTCGACGGTGGTAACTGATCTGATGTTTTTTTTCCCGGCAGGTTCATATTCCCTCCTTTACAGTGTTTTCAAACTTTCCGGTACAAGGCAAAAGTAAAATAATTAAACTGGCGCGCTCAATGGATTTCTCTCCGCACAGTGGCTTCTTCTCCATCGCAAACAACAAAGGTGATGCTTTACTGTACAGGTAAGTGTCCTCAGTGGTATAGGGAGCTGCACTGGATTTTCTGTATAGAAACTATAGTAAAGGGTCTGTGACCCGTAGCAAACAGATACCCACTGTCTGTGACCTTGTTCAGGTTAAAAAAATGACAGCTGTAATTTTATTGGTTATTACCAATGCGGTAGAGGCACTTTAACGTAGAAGTATTTTATTAATAATAGTTTTTATTAATATGTTTTATAATAAATACAGTGGGGCAAAAAAGTATTTAGTCAGCCACCAATTGTGCAAGTTCTCCCACTTACAAAGATGAGAGAGGCCTGTAATTGGCATCATAGGTAGACCTCAACTATGAGAGACAAAATGAGAAAACAAATCCAGACAATCACATTGGCTGATTTGGAAAGAATTTATTTGCAAATTATGGTGGAAAATAAGTATTTGGTCAATATCAAAAGTTCATCTCAATACTTTGTTATATATTATTATTATTATTATTATTATACAGTATTTATAAAGCGCCAATAGTTCGCTCAGCGCTGTACATTACAAAGGGGGACAGAACATGTGACAGAACAATACCAATACAATGCAAAACATGAGGGGATCGAGGGCCCTGCTCTTTCGAGCTTACAATCTAGGAGGGAGGGGGTGGTGGCACAGGAGGAGATAGCTGTGGGGGATGGAGTGGTAGGAAGAGTGGAGGAGGTCAGCAAGTTAGCAGGGGGTGGGGTAGGCTTCCCTGAAGAGGTGGGTTTTCAGGGTGCGCCTAAAGGAGAGGAGAGTAGGTGATAATCTGATGGGTTGGGGCAGGGAGTTCCAGAGGATGGGTGACACCCTGGAGAAGTCCTGGAGGCGGGCATGGGAGGAGGAGACCAGGGAACTAGAGAGAAGGAGGTCTTGTGAGGAGCGGAGTGTGCGTATCCTTTGTTGGCAATGACAGAGGTCAAACGTTTCCTGTAAGTCTTCACAAGGTTGGCACACACTGTTGCTGGTATGTTGGCCCATCCTCCATGCAGATCTCTAGAGCAGTGATGTTTTGGGGCTGTCGCTGGGCAACACGGACTTTCAACTCCCTCCAAAGGTTTTCTATGGGGTTGAGATCTGGAGACTGGCTAGGCTACTCCAGGACCTTGAAATGCTTCTTACGAAGCCACTCCTTCGTTGCCCGGGCAGTATGTTTGGGATCATTTTCATGTTGGAAGACCCAGCCACGTTTCATCTTCAATGCCCTTGCTGATGGAAGGAGGTTTGCACTCAAAATCTCACGATACATGGCCCCATTCATTCTGTCCTGTACATGGATCAGTCGTCCTGGTCCCTTTGCGGAGAAACAGCCCCAAAGCATGATGTTGCCACCCCCATGCTTCACAGTAGGTATGGTGTTCTTTGGATGCAACTCAGCATTCTCTCTCCTCCAAACACGACGAGTTGTGTGTTTCTACCAAACAGTTCTATTTTGGTTTCATCTGACCATATGACATTCTCCCAATCCTCTTCTGGATCATCCAAATGCTCTCTTGCAAACTTCAGATGGGCCCGGACATGTACTGGCTTAAGCAGGGGGACACGTCTGGCACTGCAGGATCTGAGTCCCTGGCGGCGTAGTGTGTTACTGATGGTAGCCTTTGTTACGTTGGTCCCAGCTCTCTGCAGGTCATTCACTAGGTCCCCCCGTGTGGTCCTGGGATTTTTGCTCACCGTTCTTGTGATCATTTTGACCCCACGGGGTGAGATCTTGCGTGGAGCCCCAGATTGAGGGAGATTCAGTGGTCTTGTATGTCTTCCATTTTCTAATTATTGCTCCCACAGTTGATTTGTTCACACCAAGCTGCTTGCCTATTGCAGATTCAGTCTTCCCAGCCTGGTGCAGGTCTACAATTTTGTTTCTGGTGTCCTTCGACAGCTCTTTGGTCTTCACCATAGTGGAGTTTGGAGTGTGACTGTTTGAGGTTGTGGACAGGTGTCTTTTTATATTGATAACAAGTTCAAACAGGTGCCATTGATCCAGGTAATGAGTGCAGGACAGAGGAGCCTCTTAAAGAAGAAGGTACAGGTCTGTGAGAGCCAGAAATCTTGCTTGGTTGTAGGTGATCAAATACTTATTTTCCACCGTAATTTGCAAATAAATTCTTTCCAAATCAGCCAATGTGATTGTCTGGATTTGTTTTCTCATTTTGTCTCTCATAGTTGAGGTCTACCTTTGATGCCAATTACAGGCCTCTCTCATCTTATTAAGTGGGAGAACTTGCACAATTGGTGGCTGACTAAATACTTTTTTGCCCCTGTGTGTGTGTGTGTGTGTGTGTATAAATTTATTTTTTTTTCCTTTAGAGTTATTTTTTTAATTTTATTTTTTTTTTAATTTTTTTTTTAGTCCTGCTAGCTCTGTTTTTCAGTGTCATAGACTATAACATTTGTATCTTTGCCTAGGTTAAAGCATTACTCCGATTTCTAACAACGGAAAGACAATGGTAAGTTGCTGTACAGATGTAAATGTCGTAAATCTTATAGTGGCAGTCAAATCAAAAAGAATAAAATGTCGGTGGTTTGAAATATTCCACATATCTCTTATGTTTCTAAAAGATTGTAGCAGCATCTCTTCACTTAAGTTCCCAGCCCTGCCCCACATCTTGGCTTGTTTAACCACTTGCCAACTGGGCACTTTTACTCCCTTCCCACCCAAGCCAATTTTCAGCTTTTAGGGCTGTTGCACTTTTGACAATTGCGCGATCATGCAACACCATAGCAATCTAAAATTTTTGTACATTTTTTTCACACAAATAGAGCTTTCTTTTGCTAGTATTTAATCACCACTGGGTTTTTTTTTTTAATTTTTTGCTAAACCAATGAATAAAGACCAACAATTTTTGTTATAAAATTTTGCAAACAGGTCATTTTTCTTCTTCACTGATGGGCATTGATAGGCAGTACTGATGGGCACGGATGAGGAGGCAGTGGTGGGCACTGATAGGCGGCTCTGTGACAGCATGTGGAAAGGAAAAGCCGATAACTGGCAAGTGTGTTTACATCGAGATCAGCTGTGATTGGACACATCTGCTCACGTGTTAAAGAGCCGTTGTGATTGGCCCTTTACCTCTGTGAGGACACAGTGATCACAGAGCAGGCCACAGCGGGTCCGCAAGTTCTGGGAGGACGTCCATAGATGACTTTCCAGAACTGGACAACCACTCTGTAGCCGTCATTCAGCTATAGTGTGGTTGGCAAGTGGTTAAAGAGGATGTTCAGTCACCCCTGTTAAGGCTGCATTCACACTGTAAAGCAGCGCATGAATAAGTGCAAAATCGCATTCATTGTTAATGGCACCTCAAACACAAACAAGTAGACAAACCTATCTCTTGCTTCTGCCCACCTCTCAGCATATCATCCTACTACCTCTGTTTCTTACGACCTATTCATTTCCAATAATATTTTGACCAGGATGTGTCACTTTTAAACATTTTGCTATTTTATTGCAGTCTGCACTTAGAGCATATGTGTGAAGCAGTAAATCTGACATCAGCTAAACATGCATTGCAGGTGGATCTTCCAGGGGTTTGTGTTTTAAAGGATAAGTTCGTCTTTTGGAATATGTTACCCATTTTTTAAGGTGGAATATGTAACACGTTGCCATAGCTGCAGCCTTGCCCGCCTCCCCCAATTCCTCGGGGGGAAGTTTCTCCATACTATATGTCAGATTTAAAAATCGCGTGGCTGTGCGGGGCTCCACCCACACAACCTTGTCATTCATTCACAGAGTTCTGTGAATGAGTGCCTACAAGTCCTGATTTAGTTGATTTAGTTGATTTAGTCCTGATTTAATTTTCAGCGCTTATCTGCTCCTGTCCAAATTAATCATTCTAGCTTTGGAATGTGCGCACACTGGAAGAGACTCACGCTGACACACAAGTTCAGTCTATGAACACTTCTAGTTTATTATAATGAAAAAGTGAGCTTATATATGCAAAATGATGCAAGAGTCATGTGAGAACAGCATAAGCATTATATTAGTCTTTGATTGGTCATTTCCACACGAAAACAATCTCCGTCATGGTATAGGTGTGATCTTCTTCCAGGTCTTATCTATAGAAAGAAAAACATTCCTTTGTCTCAAGTTGGCATGATGGGAGGGGGTCGGTGCGTGTGAGCAAACCTTTCTTAAGCAAGGATTTCTTAAAGTAGCACAAAGCCCAGCAGGCAGAAAATATTCACACAACATATGTATTCATACTAAACATTTACAAATATGAAGAAAGAAGTAGTATTACAGTAAAAAAGTAAATCTGTATAAAAATTTGTAGAAAAACGTATGTATGTATGTATGTATGTATATATGTGTGTATGTATATTTTTGTGTATATATGTATATGTGTATATATGTGTATATTTTTTTTATATATGTATATGTGTGTATATATGTATATATATGTATGTGTGTTATATATATATTTTTTGTATGTATGTATATATGTATTGTGTGTGTGTGTGTGTGTGTGTGTGTGTGTGTGTGTGTGTGTGTGTATATATATATATATATATATATATATATATATATATATGTGTGTGTGTATGTGTGTGTGTGTGTGTGTGTATATATATATATGTGTATGTGTGTATATGTATGTATATGTATATATATATGTATGTGTATATATATATATATGTATGTGTATATGTATGTATATGTGTATATATGTACAGGATTTAGATCTGGCTCATTGCTGGCCACTTCAGAACTCCCCAGCGCTTCTTTTTCCATCCATTTCTGAGTGCTTTTTGACGTATGTTTTGGGGTCATTGTCCTGCTGGAAGACCCAGGATCTTGGACGCAAACCAGCTTTCTGACACTGGGCCCTACAGTGCGACCCAAAATCCTTTGGTAATCCTCAGATTTCATGAAAGCCTTGCACACGTCAAGGCACCCAGTGCCAGAGGCAGCAAAACAAC